ATTGTGGTAAATACACGTTAAATAAATGTAAATTTAACTATTTTGATTTTATCAATATATGCAAAATATTACCTTTATACTCAGAGATAATGTTTTTTCTTTTTCCGATGACATATGTAAACCTATTTGTACGCCAGATCCACGCTATTGGGTAGCATAGGAATGAATTCTGTTGTAATTCCAATTATTCTATAATAAAGATTGTCTTTCTACATGAACGTTAGTTTCTTGTAATACAATAATTTCTGCATTATGACGCATAATATCATTTTTAACCATTCGGTTATTCATATCTGTAGAGCAACCTCTAACATTGTGTACATCAATAACTACCATAAAAAGTATAAAAGAGAAAAAATAAAAGTTAGAATGTAAATTTAATAATAGTAATACATACATCTTAGATTCAATTTCCATATTTTTCACTTAGAAAATAATATAATATTTTCCTTCTGTTTACACTATTCTGATCTTTTTTACTTGCAATATGTTCTCTCAGTTTCTCTATTTGGTGTACCAAGCCTGTTATGTTGTCTGTATAATTCAAAGCCACGTCTAATTGTTAGACGATCCTTGAACTTTCTTTTCAGAATTTAAATACCTTGATTTTGATAATGGTCCTTCAAAAATCTCATCATCACACTCTATATCTAAATATTTTAAATCATCATTTCATTTTCCTTTAAATCATTAGATAAACTTGTTTGGCTATCATCATTATGTTATTATTAATTTCTTAAAGAGATTTGGTTAACAATCCTTTCATATTGATTCCATCTTGTTCATCAGTCTCTACTCTTTCCTATAAATCAGTCATATCTATTACTGCTTTACGATTATCTTGGTCTATATTATTTCCCCTTTTTTTCATAACGGTTTGTTGTTCATTTATATAAATTAAATCTTTTCGACTATCTTGTTCTAATTGAGCTTCTGTCATTTTCTTTATAACACTATCTTCAGTCATTTCATTTGGTTCTGAATTATCTTTTTCTATCGTAATAATTCCATTTCATTCATCAGTCCCTACCTTTTCCTCTAAATCGGTCGTACCAATTTATACTTTACAGTTTTCTTGGTCTGTGTTATTCCTCACCTTTTTTGTAACAGTTTGATTTTCTTGTTCTAACTGAGCTTCTATAGTTTTCTTCGTAACACTATCTTTTCCAGTCATTTCAGTTAGTTCTGTACTATCTTTTTCTAAATAGTATTGACAGTTAGTTGTTCATTTTCTTCTTTCTGACAATCTTGTACTTCTATATCTGTTGTCCCTAGATCAATATGGCGCTGACCAGCTCTATTGGTATCAAATGTTGTCAACTGAGGATTTTCTGTGTCATGTCTTCATTAGTTAAATCAACAACTACTGGTTCTTCATGTTCCTTTAACTGAGAGCAATATGTTTTTACATTGAAACATTACATCGACAAACTTACACAAAATGTATAATGATAACCATATGAAAAATAAATCAATTGGCTTGGATTTTTTTTAAATCATTATCTTCAATCAGTTCAATATACACTTGTCGTCTAAAACATTTAACGTGTTTAAATTTTGGATAATATGTGGACACAGGCAACGTGCGAATAGGACCGACTACCCTTCCAAAGTTGGCCACAAGAAAGCTCAATGCTGGAAACTTCAACACAGGGAAAATGTCACGACAGGAAAGACTGCTACCCAGAAAGGTTGTTGGAACTGTGGAGAGCAAGGACATATGAGGAGCCAGTGTAAGAAGAATACCACCAATAAGTCGAATTCGGAGAAACCATTGGTGTTGAGGGATGCCTACCAACTCCCATTGTGAAAGTCCCAACAGCTAGGTGTAAAATGCCAAGCACACATAGTGTCTACGTGACAGG